AGAGTTATAAGAATATATCAAAGGACTACAAACTAAAGTCTCCAAACAGACTTGATTAAAAACACAACCCTTTAGAAGAAAGACATCTGATGAACCACATCAACAATTACATTCTGAAACAAACAAGTACATTTCAAAGAATAAATACTTTTCTGGAAAAAAAGTTTATAGGAATTAATCTACAAATAAAATACTATTAACCACAGGATACAATAGGGATATTCAGGAGATCTGTTACTCTTTATTAAGGTTTATTGTATAGTTAAGAAACAGCACTAAAGGAAAATAATTTAATTAAAATATATGAAAAGATGCATTAACAGTACAGGGGGAACAAGTGTATTTTGAAAAGTTAAAAAGCAACAACGCTGCACTTATTTACAGACAAATTTTAGCTCCAGTATCCAACGCTTCCAGAACACTTCACAAAAATTAGACTTAATGACATGTGCTGTTACACTGCCATCCTGTGGCAAAGTACCTGAAGTTTTCTGAGAACACAAGGGTTTTCCAAATGATACCCTGCTTTTAAAAAGACTTTGCATTTTTGTTCTGAGAACAGGAAAACATCAGTAGAGATTTAGCTACGCCTCAGGAGATGTTGCTGATGAAACACTAATACTGAAAACACAATAAAAGTTTTCTTCAGAGGGTTCAGGAACTCATTGGCTGGACACACAGTTTGAACCTGTGGCTTCTGAAACCTAGTTTTCTGGCAGTGAGAGAAAATGTGTTTACCTTCTTTTCCTCATGTTGAGAAATAAACAGACATTCTAGTACGTTGAACATATTGAAATATGAGGGACCATTCATGTGATTCTCCTAACAACTTCAGCCCATTTAAAATGAAAAATAAAATTGCTTATTAAAAATTGAGGAGTCTTGCATTCCCTGTTAATACCAGATCCCTAGGATTGTGCTGCTTCATAATTCCAGCCTTGCTTCAAGTCTCTGCATTAATATGATGACTAAGACTTGATTTCCTTAAAATATTTTGAAATCCTAAACTGAAAACATGTTCAAAAAAGAAAGAAGAAACTAGGTTTCTTTAAATGTTTTGCTTAATTTTAATGTAAGATTTTTTTCCTTTTGGCCTACAAGTAAAAACTGCAGTAGACTGTGAAAAAATTTTCTGTATTAGAGAATTTTAGCTTTGGGAGAACAGCCACCTACAAGAAGTTGATAAACACAACAAAAATAAAATCCGTGGTCATAATTAGCCTTGTACCTACTCTGGAGAAAACCTTGAGAAGGTAAATGTGACTCAACAAAGTCAATGAGGATAAAGAACATTCTTAACCTCCATTCTGAGAAAGGACTGCTTACCTGTCCCCATGAACTAAGGGCACACGCTTCAGGACTAGGAGGCAAGTCGAGGACTGAACTAACAGGGAAATCTTTTCAGTTCAAAGACTTTCAAATATCTGAGAAGCAGTCACAGAAATTCAGATTGCCAGATAAACACGTACAGGCATTTCTACAGCCAATATCCACATATTTGGGGCACATCAGCTTTCCAGCATAGTTAGTCCTTGTGACTTGCTTCCAAAGCACTAGAAATCTAGCATGCAAGATGCAATAATCTCAGGATGCAGAACATATTGCACAATAATTCTCTAATTATTAAAGAAATTGATTATTGACTATCAATATAATATATGTAAAATTCTTTTTTCACTCAAGCTTCAACTAATGTCAAACAATCAGATAGTTGGCTCTGAATACGAAATACCGGAAACTCGATTATATTTTACTATCAAGAGAAAATAACCCACAGTTAAACAATTAACTTCTGCCAAAATATCACTGCACCTTTAGTGCTCTCGGAGCTATCGGTCCCAGATCTTGTTTCCATTCTGTGCACTCGAGTGACACCTCGAGGCTGTCCCTGCATGTGACAGACTTTACCTTTTGTTGAAAGTTAGGTTCTAACAAGAACCTTGATCCATTCTTCATCATCTTGGAATTCCTGTGAGATTTTCTGAATGCATCTGGTATCTACAAACTGCTTACCTACCAGTAATCTACAGTATGCCACCTTACTTCGTGTCCCTTTCTACTTTCCACACATTCCAAATATAAAATAATGGAAAGCTTTCTCTGTACAAGCCCCAGCACCTGAAATACCAGTGTACAGTCAGTACATGCTTTTGAAGCCACTGAAAAACTCCATGCATAAATGTCCCATCTTTTTCAAAAGTCTTGCTTTTCTCCTTGTAGCAGAATAGGAATTGCACACTTGTCTCTGCTTATGAAAAGGATGTGTTGTGTTTGGAGTATGCTTTCCTTTCTTTGGTCTGTTCCACAGGCCATCAAAGTACAGACAAAACTCATCCTGTTATTTTGGGGGCTGTACAGGTTCCCCTGCATTCTTTAGGTGCTGCTCCTGACTTGCATTGCTTTGCAATAATGAGTAAAGTCAAAATATATTTTTAAAAATTTCACTGTCAGGAAATGGAAAAATTATATTCGTGACACTGACACAGGAATACACATGGCAATGTCTGTAGCTGTAATGAAAGTGTGATTAGCAGCCTCAGGAATTGCTTAATATCAGCGAGTCATGTTTTGCACTGTGCAAAGTATATCAGAACTGTAAGACACAGGACCTCGTAAGAAGTAACATGAGGCACAAAAGTTTTCTTTACATGACATGAGCATGTCAAACCTTGGCTTAGAGTGGCTTTCTAGATGGAGCATTCTAAACTCCAGAATAGTGACTTTTAACTAGTCCAGGATGAAAGTAACAAATTTAACAAAGATTTATTTGTTTTATCTATTATTTATGAATAAGAACTGCAGTATTGTCATCTGTGTCTACCCCACATAAATCCAACTAAACAAGTCAGCTAAAGAAGTCAGATTTATTCTTCTCTGACATGGAAAATGGGCCTGACCCCACTACTTGCTTGTAGATCTCAGATGGCACAAATACCTCGTGTTTGTCAAAGGTGTAATGGTCAGAGATATCTTAAAAACATTATTTCAAAACAAGTGTTCCTGGAAACCCCACAAGCTTTTGGTAGTAATAGAAAACCTGTTGATGTCTTGTGCCAGGCTTGTTTAGAAGGCTTTATAGCCCATTACTGCTGGTCAAATTAGACAATAACAAATCTGCTTTCTATGTCAATCATTAAAAATGACTGGTTTTGAGTTTGCCCTAACTGAGCCTCCCTGCTGCCAGGAAGTTAGGAAGGAGCATTTGGATTTCTGGTCCAATCACTTGTTCAATGCAAGGCCAACCTGAAAGTGAGACCGCGCTGTTCAAGGTCATTATTTCATGGAGTTTGGAGTACCAGGAAGGACAGAGAGATAAAAGTATGGAGATATACCAAGGATAAAGAAAAGCACAGGAATGCTGAGGAGTTATTTTTTGTTTGTGTTATGCCAAGGCAACCCAGGACACACCTGCCTCATGAAAAAAGAAATATCCCTACCTATCACTTGAGTGCATGCAAGCATTTGAGAAAGCAGAGGACAGGTAAGTACAAAAAGAGATAGTGGTGTCTGTCACTAATAATGCATGAGGAACGGGAAATCCAGGTTTTAGAAGGTGCATTCTTTTGTTTAACTCATTGACACAATTTGAGGGATGCAATGCTTGGGAACTATGTCACTAACTCAGGATCACGAGCATTTGCTCATCTCTAGTTGGTGCAAATTGCTGCCAACTGAAGGCTAATTTTACCCAACTTTACTTCTGAAAAAACTAACCATGTTCATCAAAAACTTTGCACTAATTTCTCAAACCTTCTAGTGCATGAGGGACCTTTGACATCTAAGTTTTAATTTCTTTTTATATAGAAGAAACGAATACACAGTTTTTCAATGAAAAATATGCATGTTTATTAGGTAATTATGCCTAAGAGGGGGGAAAACATCCCCCAAAGCACTGCTTAAATCAGCTACTAAATCAGGCAACAAATAAAAGTTTATCCAGTATCTCCATAGATCGAGGACATGTATTTGTGCTGCTACTTGCAGAAAGCTTGTGTGCATTCCAAACACTTGTCACTTGCCACCCTGAGCCCAACAGAGCCCATTACCCTATATTCTATATATTCTATATATTCTATATATTCTATATATTCTATATATTCTATATATTCTATATATTCTATATATTCTATATTCTTCCGCAAGCAACTTTTGCTAGTCTGAACTCTGAGAGCTAATATGTACTTTCGACACTTTTTTTTTTTAATGGACCATAAAGCACTCGTGGGAGGGCTCCCGTTTCTAATGCTTTTCACCGCCTTTTTATTTTTTTTCCTGTTATTTTTGGTGGGGTTTTTTTTCTTTTTTTTTCCCCCTATCCCTGCGCGCCTGCGCCGCGCGCGCCGTTTCCTTGGGAGCGGGGATTGTTTTGGGCGGAACCACCCGCGCGGCGCTGCGGAGGGGGAGCGGGGGCAAGGAAGAGCCCACAGGCGGGGGAAGAGGGGGAGGCGGGGCGGCCGCAGCAGCCGCCGGGCCACGTCGCGGCCGCCGCGGGAGAGGACGCGGCCGACGTGAGTGATGCCCTCGGCGGGGAGCGGGGCCGCGCCCCGGGCCGGGTCCCGCCGGGCGTGTGCCGCGGCTCGTCCCGGTGCGCGGCCCCGGGGGCGGGTAGGGCTGGGTAACGCCTCCCCGCCGCTGTGCCCTCCCCCGGCTCCCCTTCCCGCCCCGGGGCGGGGGGCTCAGCCTGGGGCTGGGCACGGCCGCGGCCGCTCGGGGGTCGCGCCGGGACCGCGGGTGTTGCCGCGCGCGGGATCGGGACTGGGGAGGGGGGCGGGAGCGTGTTCGGGCCGGGCGGCGGCCGGCGCGGGCCGGGGTGCGCGGGCGGGCGCGGCGCGCTCCGGGAGGGAGCGGGAGCAGGAGCGGGAGCGCGGCGGGCGGGCCCGGTGCCCGGTGCAGCCCCGCTGTGACTCTGTCGGGCAGGCGGGGCCGGCGGCCTGGGGCGACCCGCGCGCTGCCGCTGCCTGGTCCCGGCGCGGTGGCACGGGGCAGTGCCGCGGGAAGCACTAATCCCCAGATCGCTGTCGTTTCGTCGCCCCCGCTCTTGACGAGCTTTGTGGTTCACTGGGGTGACGTGCGAGGGCAGCTGTAGTGAACACGCAGCGCTTCCCCGTGCTTGGCACCTCGGGCTCCAAAGTGGGGATGCCTCCCTCGCAAGCGGAATGCGCATGTGGATTAGCATCACATCCTCGTTGGATAATTCCGTCGGTTAGTCCAGTTGTGGTGTGTCGGAATGCCCCTTTATATCTTTTAAATCTGTTCTTCCAGGCAAAGAAAAATGTCACATTGGAAATTAAAATACTTAGGGTGGTGTCTTGCTGAGAACGCATTTTCATAATTAGCATCTAAGATAAAGCAGAAACTTTAATAAACAATATAAGTCTTCTTTATTTCCTTACATAGAACTGAAGTCCATCATTTTGCCATCAGTCTGTTTGCAAGTTTCTCTTGATTAAAGGTGTCAAATTTCTGGGGTAAAACCCCCAACCTGACAGTTCCTATGAAGCAAAAACTTTCTGATATGTTACTACTAGAAAACTGAGGGTAGAACCAGCTTTTTAAAGCATCTTTTTTTTATTAGTATGAGCATAAGGCACATCTAAACTGGTAGAAAACTTGTAAAAAATGTGTTACTGCACTTTCATTAGTTTTTACATAGGGGTTTACCTGGTCTGTCAGTTTCTGGACTTAAGTACTGAATTTTCATTAATAAAACTAGATTGGCTTTTGATGTCAGATTTGTCAATTGTGAAGAGGAACAAATTCATGTCCGTGTAATTTTGCTGTATAATTCTGAGCTGAAGCTCTTTCACATCTCAGAGTAATGATCCCTACATATAACTTAATTAAAAACCTACTAGTAAAACCCAAGATTTCCCTCTGTGATCTAAAAGATGAGAAATAAGGGCCTGATATTCTATTCTACTTACTTTCAGCCACTGAAGTTTATGCTCACTTACTGTGACAAAAGAAAAATGAGGAATTTAGTTCAGGAAAATCCTAATTGTGCAATTATATTTTATCAGCTCTGTTTCCTAAATTGTTATAATTAGGTAGGAAATTTTTCACTTTGTGTTGCATAGTGCAAATTCTGTATGTTCTGCTCATTGTTACTATAGGTTTGATTTATTAGTGGTCAGTAAAAGTGGGTTTTATGTATGACCCTTGTGGCATGTTTAGCATACAGAATCCCTGTATTACAGCTGTAGAGTATAGCAACTCAATGAGCATTGTAAAATACTGTGAAAAGAGCAAGAGTTTAACGTAGAATTACTTTGTAAATTCAGATAGAATATTGGAGAAGAGCAAACTAGGTTATTTTCAGGAAAGTATAGTAATTGGAAGTTTGAGCTTCATGAATTTGTCTTGCTGTTTATTCCTGTTGACTGGACTATGTCACTGTTCAGGTATGTGTTTTTGTTGGTCTTGGATTGTGTTATATTTACTATCATGGAAGAGATCCAATCTGATCAGGCAAAAATGTGTTTTACAAAATTAATGATAGCTGAGCTTCCTCAGATTGGGACATGGTGGTTGCTGAACTTTGATATACAATTAAATCTATCCTATTCTAAGGTGAGATTACACTAAGTAAACAGCCTTGTTCTTATCCTTGTTGATTAATGATCTATATTTACACGAGATTGATGGTTTCTTTAAAGCACCATGTCAAAGACCATGAAGTTCTGAATTAGAGATACCTAATAAACAATAGCACTGTCATTAGAGGACTTTATCTCTTAATTTTATTGCCACAACAGGGTAGACAATAAATTAACAAACAGTGGTGCTCTCCCTGGTGAATTTTGCTAATTCTTCATTTTACAGAGAGTGCTTGTAGATGCGAGGTGAGCCTAGCCTTTGGTAAAATGTTTGCTTCATTGTAATAAAAAACTATCTGCAAAATTAATATTTTAACCAACCTATAGTTTCGTTGGGTTTTTTGGTGGACTGATTTATTTAACCTTTGACCAGAAACTTATCTGCATATTTAGAGTAGGTATGCGCTTATTTCATTTTACTTTTGTGTACTATATTGTCTCACATATTTTTTGATTTAAATTTAAGAGCCTTTCAGTATTTAATTTCTTGTTTCTAATTAGTTTTTGAGGGGTTGTTGAAATAATTCAGCTAATTATAAGATACTTTTCCATGTTCCTGTGGTCCTCAGTCAATGATTAAAGTGATAGAATCCGTATTTTTTTAATTTTATTTAGTTCTCTATTCTTCTGAATTATGTATTTTCTAGTCAATTATGAATTGACTACTTGGAAAGCAGCACTTAGTAACTGTAGTGCTTTCAAAACGCCCTTTTGGTTTAAACAAAATAAATTGCAAAAGTAGTTTTATTTTTCAATGGTGTTTTCTCTTTTAATTTGTTATTAGAAGTGTTATTTTTAACAGTTACTTGTTTAGTTGTGGCAGTAAAGCTTCACTGTAGGACTCAACATGTTTTAGATAGTGAAAGTAGTGCAACCTCATCAGTGTCATTTCAAGCCTATTGCAAAACTAAACCTTCTTTTACTGCCAGTGAAGTCCATTTGGCCGCCCTTGCTCTTTTGAAACATCCTTAGGTAGTTGGATACTTAGTATAAATGCTAAAGACATGAAGTAAACGAATTACTCTTGGCATCTGTCTAGTCAGTTCCTCTCTGATCCCAAACTGAACACTTTGCCTTTTTTTCCTTAATTTGGTTTAGTTTGGATAGCCAGCATACCAAAGCACTGTGAGTAATGAGTGTGAAATGAAAGTAACAAGCCTGTGGAAATAACGCTGTGCAAGAGATGAGAGAGATGTGAGGGTAGGGTGGTGGAGAAGCTTGGGCACCCAAGTATAGCCACAGCTCTTTCCTGTGCTGGTGAAATGTGTGTACCCAGGAAGGATTTTTAGTGCTGAGGTCAAGTGCTGTGTTTGGCTCACTTTACTGCTAATCAGCTCTCGCAGCCTTAAATCAGAGTAGCTGCATGCAAACTGCCTATTTATAGTAACCCAAAATAACTCCTAAACTGTATCCAGGCATAGCTTGGGTGAGTGTTAGATGTCTTGGACCAAAATGGTGTGAGAATAATGCAATCACACATGCTGGCAGTGTTTAATGCTATCTCTTAATTTGTTAGGGTCAATGTAGTCTGGGTATGCAGTGAATGTGAGTTACTGGTGTCTAACAGGAGGTGCTCCTGGGGAGAGCTTGGAACTGTTACCTGGTGGGCTGTGGGGGACACAGGGACCAGAGTTCCTTGCATGAAAGGCTAAGGAGAACATCACACATTCATGGGAGCCTACACTTCATTAGTTCCACTGTTTACAAAACAGTTCTTTGTATTAAAGTTTTTTATAGAACAGTCTGAATTTTCTTGATGAAAAGATAAACCCGTGTAATATTTTTATTTGCCTTCAAGCTTTGGATTGCATTTGCAGGCTTTTCTCCACAACCAGGAAGGCCTAACAATTTTTTTCTTTAGAGGAATACGTTTCGTGTAGTTGCTTGTCTGCTTTATAAAAAATACCAGTGCTTTATAGAAACATAAATATTTAGAGATTTGTAATAAAGTTAGATTTGCTGGCAGATAGTTACCTTTGTATTGAAAACTATCAGCTGGCTTTCTCAGCGATGCTGTCAGGAGAGGAATCTAATTAGAATGGCTTCAACATAAATGGTTTCATGGGTCATTATTATTTAAATAAACTGTTGGGCCTTTTAGAAGATAGGAGGGTTACAGTCCTGATTATTTGGCTACCGCCCAGAAATATAGCTAATTAAATTGCTGTAATGTTGTTTTTTATTTACCCTTAAATAATAAGTATCAGAGCTGGGATTTGTTAGCAGAAAACTTCTAATAATTTATAAACAAATTGGGAAATACTTATTTCTAAGTAAAATGTACTCATCCCTAATGCTAATTAGCACAGATTTAATTATTAACTTGAAGTCTATGGACCACTTATGTTAACGACAGTTGTTAAATACTTTAAATAGAATGGTGAATTCTGAGGAAGAAGCAGCTATTGTGTTGAGCCACTTCTAACTGAGGACTGAAAATGCGAGCAGGTAAGGATACTTTGTGTTTGATTTCCGGTACATATTTTATAGTTAGAACTAGGTGCAAATGATAGAAGTTATTTGTGTCTTATATAAATCTTTAATGCTCCATTGGCTCCTCTTTGAGTTCATGATTATAGTTGATTTTCAAAGCGATGTTATTTTTTAATTTTAAATTCAGAGGCTTTTGTAAAAGTTGTAATGACAGAGGTAAATGTGTTCTAGCTGAGGATTCAACAGGATTCCTTTTGCAGTGGTGTGCCAGGTTGCATTTTGAATTCGTGGTTACAAATTAAGCATTACCTGAGGGGAACTAGAACACCTCCTGCTTCAAGGGTTGAAATGCTGCTGGTGGCAGTATCATGATCACAGAAAGGCAGGAGTGCCAGCTCCTGGCTCTCACAGGTCTGTGTCAGGATGGTGCTGCTCTGGTTTCCAGACCCAAATAAGAACCCAGAGCTGCTGCTTCTCCTGGAAGACAGTGTGTCACCTCTGCTCATCAACAGGGAGGGCAGTAATCTGTCCTCTGCTTTGGGTAGCCCAAGTTTTGTGCTGATCCTGCTGCATGTGCTCTTCAAAATGTGCTTTCTTCAGGAGACAGAGTAGATGGTGCTGCTTTCAGCAACAAGTGAGACTGGTGTGTGTGTGTGTGTGTGTCTGTCTGTGCAAAGCTGCTGAGCTATCCTTGTATGGGGTATGTTGCCAGCGGAAATTCTTACCTGAATACAAGCCAATTTCTTGGTAAACTTCCCCTGATAAATAATTCTCACCCTTTGCAATTTTAAAGCACGACTATGCACTTTTTTTAGCAATGGTGATTAATGAGATAGCGAATCATCCTCTCGATTTCTTTTTGCAGTTGAAAGTGAGGCAAAGGCAAAAACCAAAGTTCGCTTTGAGGAAATCTTCAGACGCCATGCTGGCCTAGCAGACACAAAGAAATCAAAGAAAAAGAAGTTTGACTCTCAAGAGAGTATTGTGGTGAGCTACAGCACATGCAGGCTTTGTTTGGTTGCCTTCCTTAACAGAAAAAAAATCAGGAAAATGTATTGCAGAAAGAAGATGTTTAAGCATTTAAAAAAAAAAATGAAGTGTGAAGTATGTTTCTGCACGTACCCCTTGGTTTTGGTGTGACTTCTATTTTCTTTTTTGTGTACCAGCAAAGCAGCCTTGTAACTTGGAGATATGCCAAAATTATATAGACTACAATGCTGATGAAAAAGAAGTGGCACATGCAGGCATGCATTTATTTAATGTCCACCAGTACTTTTTTTTTCCATACTCTTTTTTCATAAAATTTTTCAATTTGAGTACTAACTTTACTGGGCGTTAATTAGATCTTTGAGGGCTAGTAGAATTAGAGCTGTGAAAGTATTTAATTTTGAGAGTACTACATCTGTGTAATACAGCTATATCTGTGTAATATAGCTGAGAATTGAGAACTGATGAGAAAGTATAATATTAGAGATAATAATTAACAATTCCTTTTTTTACTCTTTTTGAAATCTCAGTAATCAGTGAATTTCTGCATGTGCTGAGCCTTGTGTCTTGAGTGGTTCCGTGTTCACATGTCAACTTTTTAAAAAGATTTTGATCTTAGCTTGTGACTTGCAGATTAGGAAGGATTCTATAACCCAAACTTTATAGTTAGATGACATTTTTGTTTGTGGCACATCTGTCACTAAAGGAGCCTCAGAAATTCCTCTGAGTTATGGTTCACATTGTAGTCCTTTTCCTGAAGAGGAGAATAAAAGTTCAATACGAACTTGTTCTATATATAGCTGATTATTGACTTAGAAGATTTGGAATTTGGAAAGAAAGTAAATTGTTTAGAAGACAAATGTTCTGTTTTTTTATTTTCCTCCTGATAGATTTTATGTTTTCAGTCTTTTTTCTTACAATTGTGTCCGTATCAGATTCTGGAAATGAATGTTCCTTCATTAATACTCATTTAAGACAAATGAGTGGTATTTCATGTAATAGCATAAATGTAACATGTAGTTGTGTATATTAAGTGTATTCAGAATAGATGCATTAAACTTAGTATTGCTAAATATTTGGTCTTAGATTGACAGCTTGAAGTTGGATTTTGTATGGACTTTTTAAGAATGTATATTCCTTGATGTATATGCTATTTAGTCAATAGTCCATACAAAGAATCAACTTGGTGTCTAAAAATAGTACAGAGAGTTAGAAGAGTTTTTTTTCCGTATTTATTGGCATATATGTAAATAAAATACTAAATTTTTCCTCAGTTAAGTTTATTTTTTTATGAAATGTGAATTTTTAATTCTGTAATACATAAGTATTTTTTACCACATAATTGTATGTTCATATGCAACTATATATTGCTTATAAATATTTTAAATTTACTTTGGTTTTAGAATTGGTTTCCATTCCAGAAGTCTCTGATGTAAAGCACTAGTGTTTTGGAGTTATGTAGAAACACTTAAAATCACAGTGACCTGAATCAAAAGTCAGTGGTATGCATGCAAATTAAGAAGCATTTTTAGGATCAGTAGGGAAGCTCAAATTTCTGGCTTTGTTGAAGCTTTAAATATTACAAATCAAACCACTTAAAACTTAAGGACTTGAGGAAAGTTTGTATTGAAACCTATTACTGACCATTTGGAGTATTTCCTTAAAGTGTGACTAAGTTGCAGGAGCTCAGGTTGGTGTTTTCCATGCTGGTTGCATTCAAGTAGAAATTTCTGTAAAAGCTTCAGCAAATAAACAGTCATTTCTCTGTAAAAAATAAATGTGTGTGGGAGTGGAAGAGTAGGTTGATGGAGGAGGTTGGCTGGTTTTGTTCCCATTTTCTTCAGTTCATATGACATAACTGTAAGAGTTTCACATATCTTGAAATAATATGAAATTTCTCAGTGATGGTTGGCTTCGTGTCACGCACTTGCCATAAATGGTCTCCCAGCTTTGATCAAAAACAGGTCATGGTTCTGAGCCTATTTCCACTTGAAATGTTTCAGTCTATTTCCTTCCTTTGTCTTTGCTCTAGCCTTTCTTAAAGATTAATAAGATCTTTTCCCTTACAGTTCCTTGTTTCTTTGAAACCTGAGTTCTGGAGCTGCAGGGGGTTGCTATGGTTTTAAGTGACAGAAGTGAGGATAAAGAGGAGTGCCTGCCTGCTTGCCTGCTCAGCTCTGTGTGCCTATTGCCTGGAGAGCCTGCCTGGACAGCAGGGAAGCAGTCTGCTTGGAAGAGGAAAGGTTGATGTCTGTAGGGCAGGATGAGTTTGAAGCCACAACAGATAGGAATGAAGAGCTTGTACTGGGGATGGAAATACATGTCAGCCATGGCCAATGAAAGCTCTGCTTTACTGTTCAGTAAATAGCCACTGGGGCAGTGGGTGTGAAGCCTAAAGGAATCGTGGAAAAAACAAGCAATTGAGACACAGTCAGAAAATTAATTTGCTAGTATCTCTTCTAGGGCAGTCACCATAATATTTATTTTTTACCAATTATGCCTATTACAACTTGTTAGAATGAGGCAAGCTCCAGATCAGGCAGTATCCAGGTATGTTAATCTGTGTAAAGTCATAATGAAAATATTTGAATTTATTTGGTTCAATCTAAATTCTGTGGTTGAAAAGAGGATGTTTAAAATTTTATACCAGATGGAAAGGTCCCTCTATGGAGGCAAAAATTTATTTCTTAGACTGTAGCCTGATCAGATTACAATACAATGGACAGGCATTGGTAACTTGAGTTTTATGTTCAAGGCAGGACTACAAGAGATCTACCTGTTTTGTAGGCTGAAAGGCATAATAATTGTTGACATTTCAACTGGATTTTACCTCTTTGTTTCTTGTATATAAAATAGGAGAACTGATAATAGTTGACTATATAGTCGATCTGCACATTTTCTCAGTATTTTCTGTCAGAATTTGGTGGGAAAATTCCAAGCCCATCATCTTATCTGTAAATTATTGTTCTTCTAGCTTTGAATGTCTATATTTTGTAGCCTTACAGAGCAATGGCAGTAAAATTGGTTTCCTAGTACATTAAGATTTTCTTAAACTTCCCACCCAACAAGCCATCATCACAAGTACGTTCATTAACAATTCAACTGTAGGTTAATGGTCTTTCACAACCAGTACATATCAGCGCTTCAGTGGGCTGGCAGTGTCCATCCCTAATTTTTCAAGGTGTACGTCTGTTATTACAGGCAGAAATTCAGGTACCTCTGTAAATCAGGTTACACAAGTTTCCAAATAACCATGACAAGCTCACTCTATAGTTGCCAGCTTCCACTCATGCGTATTTGAGAAGTCCTTTTGAAAAGGTATAAGATTCTTAGGCGTTGTCCCTGCTATCTGCTCTGGGGCACGAATGGCAGTGATGTGACCTGTGATTGACTAAGTGGTGTGAGCATTGAGTGTCAGCCCACGTGTGTGCACCTTGGTAGGTGCCCATCCCCTGCTCCTCTCAAGCAAGACTGTTTTCAGGGGGGAGTTTCTTCCTCTGCCCTGGTGTACTGTGGCCACAGAGCTGTTTGGAAACAAAGCCTTATTTGTTCCATATTTTAAGCTGAGAAAGTCAAGTTCAGGTCAGCAACCCTCTGGAGTTACTCCAGAGACAGGCCTGTCTTATTGAGCTGCTTTTCCAGTCTATCTCCTTTCTCTAATTCAGTTCAGTGTTTCTGTATTGATGATAGCTCTTAGTTGGTATCTCTCAGTCCTATGTTTCAGAAAATCTATACCAGTATTCCCACCTCTGCCAGAATCCTAATCTGAAGGTTTTTATGAACCTCTTGGCTTTTACTTCATTGTTCTGTAACTTCTTTCCATTGAAAGGATAGTAAGACACTGGCTGCCCAAGGAAATGGTGGAGTTACCATCCTTGAAGCTGTTCAAAAGGCATGTGAATGTGGCACTTGGGGATGTGGTTTAGTGGAGCTGGGTTAATGGCTGATGCTTTTAGAGGTCTTTTTGCAACCTGACTGATTCTATGAATCTATGAATTTTTGTTTGTAGGCAATAATAAATAACAATGTTCTAGTAAGTATTTCAAGCCAGTTTTTGCATCACGTAGATTCCTTTAAGGAGATTATTCTTGAATATCAGAGTTATTTTAGAAAGTCTTGACCAGGTCATAGATGAGGGCTTTTTGTTCAGGATTTCTCAAAAAATTCTACTACTTGAATTTAGTGGATTGATGTTTTATCAAAGACAAAAATCAGCATGATCTTAGTTATTGGCCGCTGCTGGGTTTTAATTTTCAGTGTGTTTTAATCTTCATTTCTCATACTCTACAGTTAAAGTTATTCACAGAAATAAAAATAAGGAAGTGAACAATCTATTAGGAACATTATTCTTTATTGGTGTGGGGTTTTTTTAGTTTATACAAAGCTTGCTCTTTAATTCTTTTATTTTCCTTACTCTGTTCTGTATTTCAGGTTATTTATATGAAATTTTCTACATCCTCTTGAATCATTGGCCTACAAATAAATACGATGTTAGTGGTTTCTTTAAGCAAGCATAAGATGAAAATGCAAGGATAATTTTTTCATACTTATTACACATATTGTCCCTTTTTACAAATTTTTGAGACAAGCATGATTCTGTAATTGGGGATGTATCCTGACTAGAGGGGAACAATGTCTGTGTTTACTGAGGAAGAAGGTCTTGGCAAATAAAACTTTGTAGGCAGATATTTGTATTTTCTCCAAACTTCTTATTTTGCTTTTGTTGGGTTTTAAAGCCCTTTCTAATGTTTCATATTGAGGCTTTAAGAGAGTTTTCTGTAAGACAGCGTAAATGAACCTCAGTGACGTTATAGAAGTCACTTGTAAGTGTAACTTACGAGAAGTTACATCAGGGAACAGAGATCTCTGTGTTGACCTTACAGAATTAGACCTCAGGTACTTTCTGTGTTCTTTGGCATTAGCACAGAACCATAGTTCAGCTTCAAATGAACTTTAAAGATGATCTAACCCAAGTACCCTGCCATGATCAGGAACATATTGAACTAGATCAGGATGCTCAGAGCCCCTTACAACCTGATCTTGAACATATCCAAGGAGGTAGGGAAGTGGCATTATAACCTTTAGTATCCAGAAATAGAAGCTTGAAGGAGAGAGGAAAATTTACAATGTGTTTTCTATAGAACCATTAAGAAGTGCTTAAACAAATGCATTAGCTGAAATTTAGTTCTGACAAGCAGCTTTCGGTATAGGAGACTACCAACAACCAATCCTGAAATATGTCTCTAACTTGGATTTTCAGTGGATGAAAGTATTTGTTTTTGTGGTGCATGAGGTCTTCTCATCCTCCATAGTGTAAAGCACTGGTATCTGTTTATGGAGTAGACTTGTTGTCTTCCTTTTTTTTTACTGGATATATGTAAAAGTGATATGAAAACACAGTGTAACATTGAGGATGAGGTGCCCAAATACCAAACTTTTTTTTCAGTGTGAATTTTCTGTTGACTTACAATCTGTCATTTGCCAAATTGAAACAACAAAATAGATCTTTGATTTAATTTTACTTTGAGTAATGTTGCTGAAGTAATAACGTGAAGTACAGTGTTTAGCCTTGGAACATGATTTTTAGTACAAATATGTTTTATGTTCTTTTCATTTATAGCTTGATACCTTTAGAAATAATATTGATCTATCTAAGGAAAGTGTGAATGATGAAGCAATTATAAACAACACATATAATCCTGAGGAGGAGAGCCCAAGATTTACAAAAAATAAATTGAGAGAGAAAGCGTCAATTGCAAAGAAAATAAACAATGATGTTGTTAGTGAAGAAGAGAACAAGCAGCCAAAGTCGAACAGGAAGAAAAAGAAATCACTGTTACAAGAACAATTTAATGAGGAGGAAAATTTATATGAAGCTAAATTGGGGAGTTTTGAAGAAAAGACTTATGATTTTCCAAAGAAGAAAACAAAAAGTAAATCACAAACAGATGTACCTCATCAAGAAGGTGATAGAAAGATCAAAAATTCCTTGACTGAAGTGAGAAATATAACTGAATTAGAAGAGGAAGAGCAGCTAATTCAAGCCTATCAACTGCATGTGGCTGAGGAAGAGGCAAATGCAATTAAAAAGAAAATGAGAAAGAAACTTAAAGAACAGATGTCTGAATCTACCTCCACTGTTCAAAGGCATGAAGTTGCACTGAATAATGAAGTGGGCAAAAAGAAGAAAAAGAAGAAAGAGCGAGCAGTTTTAAGTGAAGCTGAAACAAGGTAACATGACAAACTGTACACAGCGTGTTGTCTATGAATCTTAAACAACACGTTTTAATTTAAGATAGGCAGCAGCTTTCTGATAAATTGTTCATATTTTCTAAGTGATTAACTGGATCATTCTGTTATGAAAAAGTAGTACTAAGTCCTTCCTCAAAAGGTTGTCACGATTAATATTGAGCTCATGGATTCTTTTTAACTTCTTAAAAAAGAAATTCTTCATTGCTATTTGATGGTTGTTTACTGTGGAACTCAGCTCTTAACTACCTAAAGGTAGTTTTGTGCATGATTTTTTTTTTTTTAGTGATAAGTGATGGCCTTGATCCAGCAAAAGAGTATTTGTTTAGCTCTTCACATAAATGGTTCTGCAGTTGTCTGGAAATTAGGGGGAAAGGAAAAGGGGAGAGCACGAAAAAGGCAAGACACTAAAGGGGCTGGGAGCTGTTCAAGATAGATGATGAGTTGCAGAATTTCAAGTGGATTGATAATGGCAGTGAGTAATTGTATCAATATATGCAGTGGACTGCAGTTGCTGACAGTGATCCATTACCTTGCAGTGCAATGTCCCTTTCTGAGCTGCAGCATCATCATCCAGAAGAAGGTGGCAATGAAAATCAGTCACCTGAAAGATTGTTTACATCAGAAAGGATGGATAAACAGAAACCTAAAGCCAAGAAGGTTAAGAAGAAAACCAGAAAAGGTCTGCCAACAAAATGTTATAATACTGTACTACTTTGCTGCGCTTTTTTTTTGTGCTGCTACAGAAATATTTGTCCATAGTAGTAAGGCAGAAGTGATTGAACTGTTTGAGTTACTTATATTTCTTAAGTTACTCAATTGTCCTTCTGTTCTTCCAATTATGAGGCTTATTTGTGAGGATGTTTATTTGATAAATCAATTTAAAATCTTGAAAATTCATTTACTATAAGTAGTTTTGAGTTGAAGCAGAAGTTACTGTGTTCCACTAGTGACTGTTTACTTTGCTCCAATTTCTAGAAGAAACCACAGAAGTTGCTGCAGAAAATGATGAGGAAATGAAGAATTCCGAAATTTCAACTCAGTCTAAATTTGTTTTTGATGATGATCTTGTTTTGGGAGTTTATATCCATCGATCAGATCGACTTAAAATTGATCACTTGGTATCTCATCCTGTGGTTAAAATCCATATTGTTGATCAGAGAAGTGGCTTATATGTGAAGAAGGATTATAGGTGACTTTTAATAAACTGTTTCTATTATCACTGATTAGAATAAGTAGATATACTCTTCCCAACAAAATTAAATATGAAAATGAGAACAATGGCATATTTTAAGCTTGTGTGGTTGTTTGTTAGGTTCTACATCTATGATATTATGTATGTATATGCATACAATAAATGAGGGTGATATTTTTCTTTTCCTTTTGGCACTTTTAAATGCTCTGGACTGCTGTATTGCTCTTGAAGCTCCCCAGGGCAGCGATCACAGTACGAAGCCTGGCAGAGTTCAAGAAGTGTTTGTGCAATGCTCTCAGGCACAGGGTGTGACTCCTGGGGATGGTGCTGTGCAGGGCCAGGAGTTGGACTTGATGATCCTCGTGGGTCCTTTCCAACTCAGCATATTTTGTGAATCCATATTTCCAACACAGCTCATTCTGTATTATTCCCAGGGGCAAAATTTCTTAAGTGTCAAAACATATAAAAGCCAAAAATATGTAAGCAAAATTCTAGTAGTATAAATAGCGTCTGCCTTTTATATCAAGAACTTTAAAAATCTTTTAAACTTTAAAGAAGAACTTTAAAATCTTTTAAAATTTCTATTTACTTCAGATTTTTGTTTCTGCTGTCGTTATCCATAATTTTCCTGAAACCAAATTTTAATGGGACTTAAGCAGTAGACTCCACCAATGATAATTATACATTAATTTGCTAACAGTAATTTAATTGTTAGGATTTTCAACTTCAGCTTGTAGTTTTTGTATATACATTACAAATTGTCTTAAATTTTCACTGGGTTTAGAAATTTTTTTCTAGAATCAGACAAATAGTATCTCATATATGTTTCTTAGCTTTCAGTAATTGAAAATATTGTTTTGTTCAAGGTTGTTTTTAAATGCTCTAACAATTATAATTCTTTGGAAATATTCAAACAGCAAGAAGGAAGATTCATCTTACAAACAAGAAGAAATAGAGCACATTCTTCCTATAATGACACAACCATGTGACTTTAGAAAATCTAAATCAACAATTCCAGAATGGGAAGAGCAAGTAATATTTAATGAGTGTTTTACTTATTTTATTCAAAACACTGAGGAAAACCCTCAGGTTATCCTGTTTTTTGAGGTAAGTTGGAATATTTTATATCTGATATTTGCACATTCTGGTTTTTGGTTTGCTTCTTCAACACTATATATTTCACTGAATCAGGTGTTTTATTTCAGTTAAACTGGGTTAATAGCTTTAAGGTATAAAGTCAAGTGGAGATACCAAAAAGTAGGGTATTTTATAGGAAAGTATTCTGTTTTGATAGTAACAAGGAGTACAAAGCTTTCTTATAAAATCAACTCTCAGACTTCTGCAGAAGGCTGGTAAGATATGGTGGATATCACTCTTTTCACATTCTTGAAATCTGAAAAGAGGTTTAAGTACAAGAATCTCAAAGGCGGAATTTGTCTGTATGTAGCAGCACCTCATTGTACCAATGAACACACTTACATTGTTTCCATTAACATTTTACACATGTACCTCTCCTGTCCCAGTCTTCATAAAGTAACCATTAATTTGTCCTCCAATGCAATTATGTTTAAAGGAAATATTTTAGGTTACATATTCAATGTAATTTTTAGCTTAGACATTCCAATATTTCTACAGAAAGATTACGTAGACTTAACATAAAAATTGAAACCTAATACAATAAATATTTTTTGTTCCTTTTTTCCAATTTCAAATAGATTGAGTATAATTTATTGCCATATGTTTCTAAATGTTTTGTGTTGCTTGTAAATGAACATATTTATATAATTAATTTAATTAAATTATAGAATTTAATTATTTATTATATTATTTAATTTATTTATATAATTAATTTAATTAATCCTTAATTGTTTAACACAGAACTAATTATGTTTGTATATAAAAATTCTTCATGGAAATAATGTTGGAACCAAAAGTATCATTCCACTGAAAAAAGGCTGTTTGGCTTCAGTGTGGTTTATGAAATACAAGTTTGAAAAAAGTATTATTCTAAGGGTTTTTTGTATACCACGTAAACTTCCAGGAGTAGTGAAATATGAGAAGATGCAGGTCCCTGACAGAAAAATGGAGACTCATAGGCATCTCTGGATGTGTTCAAGGTCAGGTTGGATGGCTTTGAGCAGCCTGATCTAGTGAAAGCTGTCCAAGCCCTTTGCTCAGAATTCTGATCTTTGACGATTCCTTCTAACCCAGACTGTTCTTATGACAGATTAAATGGCAAAACTGATAAAGCTAGGAAAGAAAAACTAACTTTTTGACTGCCATTTTCCATTTAGATGAATATGCAGCTGGTTTTAGCTGTCAGATTTGTGATCTAAATGATTTCTGAATTATTAAGTCAATTACACATTTTTTTTCTCTTTTATTGAGACATAAGGGAAGCAAGAATAAGTTTTTTTTAAGACTAGACTTCTGTTCTTTTTTAATGGAGGTTATAAATAGTCGTCAGATAAATGCATAAGGACCTGTTATTTCTAATTTCTTACTTGTGTGGAAGAAACACTGGTTTTGTAATATCTCAAAATTTAAGTCTGTTTAATTTAGTGAATTGACCAAGCATTTTTCAGTAGTTTTTTAAAATTACCATGAAGTACACATTTATTAGAAATACATTTATATTCCTGTTGATACCTCTAGGTTCTTGATTCTCCAAGTGTGCATGAACTGAGAGCCAACTCTGATGTAAAAATCCAGGAAGGTCGTTACCGAAAAATTTGTTGGGCATTTCTAAAGGTACTGTAAATATTTAATTGAAGAAACAAAATTCATAAATCCTTCTATCTGAAAATCTCTAACTGTACTAAGTAGGAAAGCATTTTAAAATATTTTCAGCAACAGAGATGGAAGAAAACGTCCTCGTTTGCTTGGCTGTTCTCTCATTTTCCTCTTCTTCCACTCCATGAAATCAACACAGTAACAGGCTTGACACTAAAGTATGTGTTTTTCAAGGAAGTATAGAATGTGTTAGATTTTTTTTGTTTGTTCATAAAGTACAGAAGGTTGTTTTGCGTTTATGTGATTGCCAAGAAAATGACAAATCCACCAATTTCTGTACCACAGCTGTTCTGTATTCTAGTGGCATTTTCAGTTGTCCAGTCTTTGAAATGACTCCCTAACTTAATTATAGAATGCTTCTCATTTTCAGTTGTAGAGTTTGAAATGCTGTGGCAATTGAGATACAAATGTGCTGAATGTAAGATATGGGTAGTTTAGGCAGCATATATGTACCTTTCTACCCTTTTAAGAGAGACTTGAATGTGTCAATTAGTTCTTTGAGAGCTGACAAACTTCAATTTCCCTGAGGATTGTTTATTTACACCTATGCCTGTGTGTGATAGTAATTGACAGTCATTGAGCAGTCCACAACATAGAGGAAATGTGAGAAATAGAGGAGAAGATAATGGTCTGCAAGTACAGATGAAGGGATGGGGGCCTTAACAGCAATGCAATTCAGAGATTGTTCTGAGCTCTGCTCAAGATAAATCTACCAGAATCAGGGGTCTGCTATCCCATGTCTGGTAGCAGAGCTGGTAGGAACTGTGCATCCAGGCATTCAGTACAGCCTACTCCTGAGCAGAGGGAAGAAAGAGCTTTCAGCTCATAAATATGAATAGAATTGTTGCTGCCCTTCATTCTTACTGCATCTGCCTGCATTATCCGTTCATCTGTATCAGTCAAAGCAGAAATGTCCCAATTCAACACTGATCAGTGTTAATGGCAGTAGATACTTTTGTTATTCTTGATGTCAGTAGAGAGCACTCTGTCTCCTCTGAAGTTGGAGAGGTTACTACATTGCTGTGTCTTCTGCTCTGAACCAAAGCCTTACCAATGCCCTTTGTTGTGGCATTCAGAGGACAGATTTGGAAGAAGCTGTTTGTGGATTGGCAGTCCTTTGAGATTTGGTTGATTTTAGCAAGTAGTAGTTAAAAAAACCCAACAAAACGAGGTAATGCAGAGATCTTCCCACTTTCATAAGATATTACTGCTGTGAAGCATCTTTTGAAACTAGGCTGCCATTTAATAGTTAATCTTCATGATTTGATCCTGAGGGAATTAAATACATGCTTAGTTCATTGTCACTTTTAGAGTTAGTGTATTTCTGCAATGGGAAGTGGATTTCAAAAGTTTATACTGTTAGTTAAGATATTAGAAATTATCAATTACTTTTGTGTTCATCTTTCTTCCTCTTTCCTCTTTTTAATCACCCTTCCAGCTTGTAGGTGCAAATGGAGTTCTAAATGTTGGTGGAAAACTTCGTCTGCAGTTATATTATCCACCTTCAAGGACCAAGTCACATTCAAATGTTGTTGAGGTTTATGACTGGTGGGCAAAGTGTCCTAGAAATCGTTACCCATCAACTTTATATGTAACTGTAAAAGGCCTAAAACTGCCAGATCATGTAAGTTAAATACATAATGTATAAATATATTTGCAAATATAACTTTTCATTCACACTTTTCTAAATGAACTAGTATCTAGTACAACATGTGTCTGTGTTTGTATGCATGTACATAAAAGCTGTCCTTACATGCAGTATGTAAAATATATAGTAAGAATATTACATCTCAAGGTAAGTGTTTCAAACTCTGCCCTTCATAGGTAGCTTTGAAAAATAGGCATACTTTTCTACTTTCAACCTTGAATATTTTGCCACTGACAGTCAGAACACTTTGAGTACTTTCTTGAAGAATAATGTTCCTTCTTATTAGCAGAAATGCCATTTTTAAAGTCACTGAACTCACTCAGGTGTATAAATTCTTTGAGAAAAGATGCAAGTTACTTAACTTTGCTTCTTCCCTGCACCCTCTAGCTGTACTGAGCTGTATTTTTTTCACAAATGAAAGCTTCTTTAAAAATAGACTTACACAGGTATGTGCTGAAATGGGCATTCAAGATAAATATGGCATTTTCTTTTCTCTGATGCAAGTACAGTATTGCTCTATTATATATTTTCCCATTTGTATTTAGACCTTAATACTTTCTTCTACTCATTTTTGTACTATGAAGGGTAGTCTGTGGAAGCCTGGTGAGATGTGCACCTTCTCAGTTGTACAATACAATAGAATAGTGGAGTAATTCTAATTTTCACTGACCTTGCTAGTTACTAAAAATAGGAGATTATAGATTATTATAAAAAATTGTGATACCACAACTTTGGAAGCTTGGATTACTTTATGACTTCCTGATCACTTTAAGTGACATGTTGCAATGCAGTTTTCATGTATTAAGCTTTTCCAATCTCTGTGTTCCAGATATAAAAATGCAAGACATTTAAATTAAAAGTACCTTTTAACCTTTTTAGAAATTACATTGTTCACTTTAAAAATATTTTTCCCTGATACTTAATTTTGTTTGCCTTAAGGTTGGTCCTTCTTTTCACTCTATGGCAGCTGTTCAACAGGAACAAAGTAATACAGCACTGTCAGAGCTCCAGAGAGAAGGATGTGAATCTTCTTCAGAGGAGAAAAAGGAGCCATTTAAATGGTCAAGATTGCCTGGACAGGTGAAGCATTTTTCTTTGAATTTTAAATGAAAAGAATTTAACTATTTACTTTATTTAATAATAATAAATTAAATATTAATTAAATATTAATTAAATATTAATTAAAATAATTACAAAGATATTAAAACATTAGAAACTCTCATAGAAGTCGAGGAAGCTTAGCCTTAGCAAATACAAGTGATATAACCAGACAGGTATTTTTATCTGCAGAATTCTCTAAGTATTTGAAAGAGTAGAGTTATTTGAGTAATGGAAGTAAGACAGGAAGCTAGTTCTCAGATTTCAGCTTGATTAGAAATATATTTTCTTGACTTTTCTTTTTGTTTGTTGAAGACATTTTTGAACTGTGACAGAAAAAGCTTACATTGAAGAACCGCATAGCTACTATGGATATTGCCCTTCACCTTAAAATTAAAATTTAGTTTTGGAGAAAAAGCTGTTGGGTCCAAAAGAGGTAATATGTTGGGAAAAGGAAAGGGGTCTGTCTAAAATACCAGTTCAGTTTTTTGAGATGTTTCATCTCTGGTTCTGTCTTTAAAAATCAGATATATAAATATAGATGAGGAATGGTAAAATGATTTGGTAGGAGATCAAAGGTTTGAGTGCCCGTGTTTGGGTTTCTGAGTTCACACTACCAGTCATTAGTTTACTAAAAGTTGTGGTTAGACTCCTCAAACAAGCTTGACTTACAGTCTAACTCCACAGCTTACATCATTGATGGTAGGCATTATTAAGCGTTTCTTAAGATTAAGGAATTTATTTCTATTTAGGTTTTTTAGGTTTTTTTAAACTTACTAATTGTTTATAATGATGGGGTAGAAAGAGATACACATTCATGGGGTTGTGCTGCAAAACTGTCTCTGTTTATAATATGTTGAATTTTACTTTGGAATGCCATTAAAATGTTAATAGCCTTTTAGAACTTCCATGTGTCAGGAACTAAGAGTGTGTTCCACGCATTGGATAGTTAATATTCCTACCAATTGTTCCCTGAAAAGCCAGGCTTGCCGCATTCCCAACAAGCACCTGTTTTCCCTGCGAGGTGGAGATATGGGCTGCTTCTGTATCCGCTTCTCTCATGACGGGAGAACACTGGCAGCTGCATGTGCAGGAAGGAATGGCTATCCCGTTGTTTGTAAGTTTAAATACATTTTGGCTTTTTGCTTATAAACCATGCATTTGGAAATTAAAGATTGAGGGAAATTAATTTTTAAATTGTTCTTTTTTAGAGTTTCTGGTTTTTAGTTGTGATTAGAAGATTGTTCTGTGCATTAAAGAGCATTGAGGAAAATGCTCTTTCTGTGTTGATAGGGTTGGAACTGGCTTTTCCTACATGGTTACATATACACAGTTTAATGGTATGAAATGGCACCATTTCTACCCAGAGGCCTAATAGGAATACTAAATCAGTTTGAAGAAGGAACATAGTTTCTGATGATAACGTTTTAAGGAAAATAACATTTTAAGCCTCCAGCTCACACACTTTTCGTGTAAGTCTTCTTCCTAACCTGTCTTTGAAAGTTACATACAGGAATGTTACCACCTCCAGACAGGTTACTACTCTTCCATGGTCCAGTTCAGTCGAAGTACAAACATTCCTTATAACTCAAATTTTTGACTGCTTCATCACAGTAGCTTCAACTGCATAGTTCTTAAACCTTACATAAAAGTTTTGAGATTTAGAGAGAGCAGTATTTTAAGTGTACACAAAGTAAATGTTTAAATGCAAGGAACAGTAAATCTAGATTGCTTTAATACACAGCCCCAGAAAATAATCTCAGTGTTAAAATATTTCTAAGATTGGTCAATTAGTTGTCAAAATTTAAAAAAACCTGACATAATCCTAATCGGGTTCTAATAATTTAGTGCAAATAAGGTGTTTCTTAAGGGGTGAGACATTGTGACATCTATGAACCACTAGATGGAAGTAGATGCTTGCTGTCTATTCATGTCTCGCAATTATTTCATCCTGTTGCCTCGAAATTAGAAGATAAAGAAAATGAGTTGATTTATGCTAGCAGAAAATCAGCCTAATATTAGACTAAACTGTGACTCTAATAGCTGTTAGTAGTGTTTGACTGCAAATACCTACAAAACTTTTATTTTTATATTTCAACTTCTCTAGTGTATGAAATTCCTTCTGGACAGTTCCTGAGAGAATTTTATGGTCACCTTAACATAGTGTATGATCTTTGTTGGTCAAAAGACAATCAATACCTTCTTACTGCTTCCTCTGACGGCACTGTCAGGTCAGTATGATGAAATGTTCTAGCAGATACCATCAGAAGTTGAAATGAAAGTGGTCTAATTCAGTGTTCTACTACAAACTGTTCTGTAATGTTTTAATTAAAGATTTGGTTACCATGTGACTAAAATAATATAAAAATTGTGATTAGGTTAATCACTCACGATATATTTACTATTTATAATTCAATTCTGTTTGAAACCAAAGCTTTTCCAAAAACTCTAGTTGTCTAAATCTATAGTGCAGTCAAAAAACCTAAAGGACTTTTTATTTCAAGAAGACACTGAGACAGTTGTAATATTTTGTTCCTGGAGAAATCGTCGTACTATGAATGGAGTATTAAGTTCGCAAATTTGAACACTAAGCAGGAAATTGAAAATTTAAGATTCAAGTTATGTGTGTAAATTTACCACACTGCATATATGTATATTGTTACACATAGTAAAGTAATTCAGTTTAAATTGCCGTAAATTAATTTTGATACTGTTATTTCTTAAATGGAATCCTCTACAATTAAAGTCTACTTCCCTGCAGTGTTAATGTTAAAATATTGATCTGTTCAGATTTAAAAACCAAAACCCTCAAAGCTGTAGCTACACATGGAAATATTGCTAGGACACTGTACAATTTTATTGTGAGCAACTTCATTTGTTTTCATAGAGCTTTTTGGGTTTTTTAGCCCTCCAGATCCTTGTCTGTTATTTCTATTATGCAGCTCAGTAATTCTACAGGCAGTTGCATAATTGAAATGCCAGTAGAATTCTTAAATGAGGTATTGTATGTGTGGAACTGTTTTAGGTTTTTTTGCTGCTTGTATGTAGGCATAAAAAGAGTGTGTTGAGAGTTCAGCACATTTTTTTTTTTTAATTTGAGAGTGGATTAAGTAAGAATTTTTTATATTGACGTAAATACAATTTTCAGTCTTTTATGTTGCCGATAAGAAGGCTGAGCTGTTCCACAGTTCTTGAATTTGTGGCAGCAAGTTGAAACTGCAGTGGTCTGCCTCATTTTCTGTGTACTATGTGCAGTCACTGTATGAGTTATTAGTTTCTGTATTTGTGGTAGTTGCCTTCAGCTCCTTAAAAAGTCTCAGCACCCCACTGCTTTAAAGTCACTATCAGTTTATTACTTGGTTTATCTCATACTGAGTTCTAAGGCACATGAAGGTAAATTCATGAACTTATAAGAATTCTTCTTTATATAGTGTTCTATGTTATCCTCAAACCTTCCCAAGGTTTAGTCCCACATTATTTGTGAGCAATAAATTAATTTTTATTTTGCTAGATTAAAAAACATTCTAAAAGATAGTTAAACTCCTTGTGACCTTTCTGCATCAAATTGCAAATTAATTGCCGTACTCTAAAGGGTTTCAATTTTGTAATTAAGTCACCTCTGAGTAAGCTTAGAATTCTTCAATAGCCACCAGAAATGGTTGCCTCACCTGGATGGGTACAACTAAAACAATTCAATAACATTTTGTAACTGAATACTGTGTATAGCATGCTGCCCACCTGTATTTAGTGATCCAGGTACTGTTTTATTTTTTGTGGACTCATCTTTGGGGAAGGCTCACTAATAAAATACTTACCATGAAATAGAAAACACCAAGAAAAATCTGATATTACAGTTATGGGTGGCAAAGGATAGGGACTAGATTAATAGTAAGAAGGAGATTTATGTGTTGTAACCATCCTTGAGATCATGATTACTGTGTGGCTGGTAATTATTATTCTAAAATTTTCTGGGATTTTGTTTATATTTAGTGGCTTTAAGTGTTCCTTTATGGCTTTCCTTGTTCTAATATTGTTTAAAATGAATGATACCTCAGAAGAGCTTAATTTGGTTCTAAGCCCTGAAAGAAAGAAACTAATTCATTCATGGAATTCTTTATGAGTATTTTAAAATGAGAAATATATATCCATTAAGTAAGTAGTCACTAATTTGCTTTGAAGACCGAATACTGTGTAAAGTAGTAAATTTTTCTTAATTCTTGTTAGAAAATACCATATTAAAGGATTAAATAGAGGTGGAACAAATTGCTGGAATAAATAGGTATTATTAAGTGTTTGCAAGCATTTGCCTCTAGAACCAGTAGCACAAAATATGACATCAGTTATACCTGTGCATGTGACTGCTTTGTACAGTAGAAATTCTAACTTTGTTTCCTTTTAGAATGTGGAAAATAGAAATGAAGGCAGCGTCTGCAGTGAGAGTTTTCCCTCATCCTTCATTTGTCTACACTGCCAAGTACCACCCAATTGCTGACTTGTTGGTTGTGACAGGATGTTACGACTCAGTGATTAGAATCTGGAATGCAAATGTGAAAGAAATCCATGGGCAGCTGCTGCAGGAGCTTGATGGACATAAAAGTTTCATCAACACACTTTGTTTTGATGCAGAAGGTATGTAGTTAATATTGCTTTTACAAATAGTTGTCTTTCCAATTGAAGACCAACTTGAGTTTTACTAGTTTACTTCATGGAGGCAGTCTGTTCTTCTTAGGAAGAAATTATTTACTGGGAGAGTGCTGAGGCTGGGACAGGTTGCCCAGAGAGATTGTGGCTGCCCCATCCCTGAAAATGTTAAAGTCATGTTGCTCTGTGCTTTGTTCTAGTGGAAGGTGTCCCTCCCCATTTCAAGGAGGTCAGAACTAGATGATTTTTAAGGTTCTTTTCAACCCAAATCAATTTATGACTCTTGAATAAAGAAAATGAGGCAGTAGTAATGAGATTGTGAGAATTTTAGCACTAAATGGAAGATGTGGGAAGGTGATGAACTTTTCAATATTGACAGAGAATAGGAAACATGGAGAGAAGAGGACAGAAGTGTGACCATTGTGAGTCATGTTAACTGGTAGGTTAACAGCTGAAAGTGAATGTTGTGCTGATATGAGCTAGTGGAGGAGGAGTGGTGAAAATTAAAGTTTTACTTTTTCTAGTGTTAGTGACATCATTAATAGGTAGTTCAGATTAGTCACTTGAGTAACAAAGAAGAAAGCTGTATTTTTATAAAGAAATATTTGTGCTTAAAGAACAAGTATTGGAAAACACTATTTGTTCTAGTTCAATGTTCTCTTAGTGAATGTATAAGTAATCATTGAGCTATCATATGAAGCACGTTGAGCTGTAAATGCTCACTTTTTGCTGGTTTTAGAATATGAATAAAAATGAAAAACATTTAAAAACATGTTCTGCACCTCAGTATTTAATGTATATGCTACATCCAAACTTATGGTATCAGCTTATGTCATGCAATAGGAGCAAAACTCATTTGCAATGAGTATATTACAGCAAAAGAGATGGAAGAATTACTATTTGCCTATTCAGAAAAATGAGAGGACAAAAGGTTGTTTTCTTGTTTTCTGTGTTATTGTTTTGTGGGTCGTATTTTACTTATGAGACATTATTTCTCAGGACACCACATGTTCTCGGGAGATAGTTCAGGACTGATAATAGTTTGGGATACACCTGTCAAAGGAAGTTCTCCACACCTTTTTCAACAGTGGAAGATCAATAAGGTAAACAGGTTTCTTAAACTAGCATTGTAATTTTTATATGAACTGTTCTAAATCTAGTAATCTGATTTGAATTAATTTTTTAATACACTACCTTTTGTTTACCTGCAAAGGTGTATTTTCTTTAAAAATTGGTATAGAAGAACTTATACAACGTGCAGTGATTCACTGACTTATCTTTTTAAAATTGTTTTGCAACTTAATTGGGTTGGGCACTGGAACAGGCTCCACAGGGAAGTGATCACACCACCAAGCCTGAGAAAATTCAAGAAGTATTTGGACTCTCAAGGCACATGGTGTGATTCTTGGTGCTGTCCTGTGTAGGGCCAGGAGTTGGTCTTTGATGTTCTGAGTGGGGCCCTTGCAACTAAGGGCATTCTAGGATTCTGTAATTTTTTTTTGTATAAAACATGAAAATGCTTGAGGTTTGATAGCACTTTTTTAACAGGTAAATGCTTTGCTCTCTAGAGACAAGAATAAAATAGACCACAGGCTTTAAAAAGCACCTTTGTTTGTACCTTAGAGCCCTAATATTCAGAATCTGCCTTATGGCTGTAAGAAGTTGATGTCTAGGATATAATGCCTTAATATAGGAAAAAACTTTTTCCTTAACCAAATAAAATTAATTGAGAAGAAAAAGAATAATGCAAGAGAAAAATGGGCAATAATGTGTAAAAATGTGAGTTTTAAAACAAATTAATATAATTTTCTTTATTTTCCATCCTTCTGTAGGAAATAAAAGAAAATGATATTAAAGGAACACCAATAAATCATTTGGAAGTGCATCCGAATGGAAGGCATTTATTGATCCATGCCAAAGACAGTACCCTGAGAATTATGGATCTCAGAATGTTAGTATTTTTGGTGAAAATGTGTTTTTCCTTTATGCTTGAAAATTTACATGGGGAAATAAAATACCATAAAGGTATTAGTTGTGTAGTTGGGGAGAAAAAAGATGTCCAAATAATCAAGGATAGAAATGTTAGGGTTAGGAAATTATTTCAAAACACTACTGTATTGCAGACCTTTTGGGTGATATTGAGAAAGTATTTTAGAATAGAATATCGAAAGATTACTAGGTTACTTGGGAGCCTAAAGTGGCACGAAGAAGACAATGTTACTCTTCTAAAGATTGAAATTCCTTTTAAAATGCAATCTGGGCTTGAAAAGAATTTGGAAGTAGTAACATTTGTATGATAGTTTTGCAGTTTTTGATGATTTTCTCATTCTTAATTGATATAAGCATGATCTTTTCAGGACGAACAAAAATAAAAAGCTAGGAGATTATACACTCACTTGAGTTTGATGTTGGAGAATGACCAGTTCAATTCAATGATCAAAACACAACAGCATGCTATTCCAAGCTTTATACAACTGGATTTTTAATATCTTGAAAGATGAAGATTTTACAGCTTCTGTGAGCAACACATTCTAGTGTTCATTCACCCTCAAATAAAAGACATTTTTCTTCTTTTTAAACAGAATTAGCTATATTTATGTTCATTCCCTCTTCTACTTTCATTGTATGGGAGTGAGCAGTGTCTCACCAATCACTTACATATGTTGATAAGATGCACTTGAACATTCTGTTCTGGAAAGTCACATTAAAGATATGAACAACTTCTCTAAAATGTTTCATCCTTAATTTCATAGGTTTCTTTCTGCCCCTCACCAAACAGAAAATCTCTGGAGGTATTTAAAAGATCTGTAGATGTGGCCCTTAGGTACATAGCTTAGTAGTGGATGGGACAGTGCTATGCTAACAGTTGGACTTCATGATCTTGAAGATCTTTTCCAAACTTAATTCCAAACAGTTCTGTTACTGTACTAGACTAAATGTTTGAACAAGCTGAGATCTCTTATGGTGCACTTTTCTTTTTTACTGTAAATGATGAATTATAATGACCATGCTAGAAGCTAAACTGTCCACTCAGTCAAAGTATGAAATTGCAGAATTAAGAGAGGGAACTTGTAGTTTTTGAGGCAGTGTTCTTCTGTTGCTCCTCTTTCTAAAACGTGCAGAGTTTTAGTTTGAGAGGGAAAGATGGGCATGCATATTAATCTCTAAGAAAGGGTTTAATTTGGAGTGCAATTTCACAATTATTTTAAGCAAATAGGACGTACCATCTCCTGCAATCTCCCACACCTTCGGCCGTGTATTCCTAGCATTTTTTTTTTATCATCTCTAGAGATCTTTTGATGCGGGGTAAGTCAGATCAGTGAGCTGATCCAACTAAAAATTAGCCTACAAATACAAATGATTAATTTTCATTTTAATCAACTATCTGGTCAAACTCATCTGATAGCTGCCCAAACACTAGAGAAGAAATGAGGGAGAGCCTGGGAAAATAAGGGTGGAGAGGACACCACCAGACTGCTACTTTGACCACAGCCCACAGTTACATTGACTTAAGTCTATCAATAAACCACAGGGTCAGATACCCAGCAGTGATAATTTTACACGTCAGCATTAACTGTTCATTCCCTGCATGAGAAAAGAGGGGGTGGAGGTCACAGATGAACACAATTCACTTTGATTGACAGCTGGTTGCTCTTAACTTTCCTCTTTCAAAAACTTGCTTTTTTGATCTTCTTGGCTAATGCTGCTGTCCTGTCACTTAGGTATGTGGTCAGGGATTTGGTATTGGTTCAGTCCTCACCTTAGGGTTTCATACGAAGGTTAGTTTTACATCTTGCAGGGCTCTTCTAATGACACCTCTGAGATACTATCTTTTTTATTCGTACAGCTAAAACTGTTATTTGGGCCAATATGGTCTTGCACTGGGATCATTAAAGCTTCCTTTTCTCTTACTTGTGAAATAGAATTTCATCTAGAGTATATTTATTTTAAATATTATTTAAAATAATTTTCCTGTCATATTAAATGCACTGCACTTCTCCCAGCATACCTCCACTGTTTTTGCAGTAACAAATGTGAAATAATACTGTCTTCTGTCCTTGAGGGCTATGGTGGCTGTTTGTCTTGCCTCAAATTCTGCATTGTAGTACTGCTGCTGGGTTAGTCTCCATGTTGAACTTTGATATCTTTTTCCAGGCTATGCCTAATGTTTAAAATAGCTTCTTACGAGCTGATTTATGCTTCTTTCCATCCTTTTGTGGATTCTCTCCTACTTGATGCCTACAGACTATTTGGCAGTAGATCATTATTACTGTGCTGACCAATAGTGTTTCACTGAAAAAAGATTCAGATAGCTAAGTTTCAAAATAATATTAAACATATTAATAATAAATCAACATTTATGACTGAAATTCGTTGATTTTACTGCTGGTTTTCTGACCAAGGAGATATTAGTCTGAAAAGCTGAAGAGAGCTGCTGCATAAGTTTAATAACTCAAGCTCAACAAGCATAATGAAAACTTTCCTGACAGAACGTGGAGTAATAGTGCCAATTTCCCTGTTTTTTGCAAAGCTCAGGATCAAGATAATGCAAATTACTGCATCTCTATCTGTTCTCTAGATCTGAGGATTTCCTTTTTCTGCTGAAAGACAAAGATGTATATTTTCATCTGTACTGTCAAGTGCATTATGAGGGTTAGGGAAAATAAAGGGTAAATAAATACTGCACTCTGCAGAAAGCGTGTGCTTATCTGTTTGGGATGCAAGGTGTACTGATTTTTCTGAGGAATAGAGGGGGAACTGACACTTAAAAAGTTACATTGTCTGTGCTGAATGTATCTTCTATATTTGCAAACTTTCTTTAGCTTGGCGACAAAGAAATATGTAGGTGCCACAAATTACAGAGAAAAGATTCACAGCACCTTAACACCATGTGGTACGTTCCTGTTTTCAGGAAGTGAAGATGGAAAGGCTTATGTTTGGAATCCAGAAACAGGTAACTAATTATTTTATGGGCTTAAGCCAAATTGTAAAAGCTGAGGGGGAAAGGATTTTTTTAAGGTTATTGAAACACTTTTAATATGGAATAAAACTTCAGTAAGATGTTCTTAAATCCTGAAGCTTTAGCTCCACTTTTTAAATAGCTTTTATTAATCTCTCAGATTTAATTCTCTAGAAGAAATTAACAGAGGTAACATTTGTAATATCCAGCATGACTGGAGCACCTGAGGCTCAGCTTTTTGTATACTGCAACGCTTTACATGTGGTGAAGATCTTAAGATGGAATGCACAAAAAAAATGTTTTAGGTCAGGTACGTTTTTCTATTCGGTTGTTTAGATTTGAGAATCAGGCTCATGTTCAGAGCCACCTCATCTCTGTGGTGAGTGGTCAGAGACTGAATATTTTTGGTGAGGTGGATAAGATTTCTCTGTGGATTAGTCCCCAAGCCAAGAGTTTCAAAATAGGTACCAAAATCTTTCAGAAAAAATGTGACAAAAATATAGGGTAGAGTTTCTTTCACAGGAGGTAAAAAATAAAAATAAGAACTGAAAGTAGCAGAATACCATATTGGATTTGATGACATTATATTCTGTCTGTAATTGTAATCTATATAATTTTTTAAAATAAAAAAGTAAATATTTTGAAACTGGCAGATAACTAACAGTTCTGTTTTGAATTTCTTTCCATGTTTCCAACTACGGTAGCTTGCATCTCTGCTGCTGCATAATTTGCCTAAAAACTTTCAAAAAAAATAAAAGGAAGGAGGAACTTTGTTATTAGTATGTTTTTATTGGATTTTGACTTCTGTTTACACACTATATTTACGTTTATAGTGCCATCAGCTGAAGAGCTAATTTTATTTATATTTTTTAATAATCCTCTGCTCAACTTTCACTCCTGTTATCAGTATTATATAGCTGAAATCCACAAGTAAGATGCTATCTTTGTACAATGCAAGCACAAACAAATACTGTGGAACGCCACCTTTCCAGAATGTGCTTATCAGAACAAGAGAACTCATCTAACCTGGTGCATCCTCCTCTGGCATTTCCTGCAGCTATTGCAACAGCTCTAACTTTTCTGACTTACTGAATAACTTAAAAGTATGCAATATTTCCTTTGTCTTATGCCAAAATACTTCTTTTCAATCAGGAGATTGACTGAAGTACATTTATTTACAGTGGCAAACACTGCAGTAATACAATATTTAACCAACTGTTATTTTGCTGTATCGAATGTTTCAAATATTTTTCCATGGCATTAATAAACTTATTTCACTTCTGCAGGAGATCAGGTGGCCATATATTCTGAACTCTCATTCACATCACCACTTCGTGATGTTGCCTTTCATCCACATGAACACATGGTGTCTTTTTGTGCCTTTGGTCAAAACCATCCAATACTTGTATACATTTATGATTACAAAGGTACAGTACAAATTTTCTTGATACTCACTTGTAAGTATTTCATTTTTGAAAGCGATTTGTTAGTATTTGTACTTCTTTTGAGAGAAAAAGAAAACAGTTATTTGATGATAATGCATATCTTATTTTCTGGGAGGTGCCAAAACTGAGTTGAACATGATCCTACACAATCTGTTTTATCTGATGTTCTATGTGACACTGCTTTAAGCAAGGGTTTTGGCCTAGCCAAAATCATCAGAGGTCTTTTGTATTTCATACTGTGTGATTTTTGCAACACTTTATCATATATAGGCATATATATGCATATAGGCATGTCATATATAGACATATTATATATAAGCAGCATCATACAAAAGCCCTTCTTGCAATATCAAGGTGGATTACGGAGCTAGAAAACACAATTATTTGGAAAACTAATTAGTAGCTTAATTGGAATCTGAGCAGTTTGTGCCAGCTATGTTACAAAATAATGTTGAGGAGCTGTATAGAAATAAACGAGAGTGTATAGATGTCTAATAAATAGCTGTTATAGCTGTGATGTCATTATGTCAGAGATACGTTTATTCCTCATGTTATATTGAAGAGAAGATAGTAATAAATGCTAACTTTAAATATTGGTATTTATACATATCTTTGAGGTTTTGGTGTACAAAATAAGATTCAGTTTGTCCTTTGCAGACTTTTTTGATACTTGTGTTCAATTAAGGACATTTGCATCTAGAGAGTTAATGTGTTAATATGAATTATGCAGTGATTTTTTTGGCATGAATTAAGTTTGCTGGAAACATAGATCTATAAAGCTAATCCTGTCTTTATACGCTGGCTTTTTAAGTAACATGTAGTAATAGGATTACTCATATAAAATCTTAGTGTAGGTTATTTGTTGAATTGGTTGACTTTTATGAGAACGTTAAGTAGAATGACTTTGCAATCAATATTCAGTGCTGTACTTCAATTAAGTAGGATATCAGTATTTTAAAAAACAATGAAATTTTTGGGAGGTGAAGTGTTTCTTTAGAATTTTTTGATTGTTGAGCAGACAGTGAGGCTTAAAAAAACTTGATGTAGTACTTTGAATTATATATATGTGTGCATACACATTTAGAGATCACACAGCACAGTGGTAGTTGTGTTTTCTGACTTCTTAACTGCTGATAGTAAGATTTTGCATAGGTTGTGGTCTTTTGTGTCGTTGGTTACTATCTTTTTGTTCCTTCTTTGATTAAAAGCACTCTTTGCTTTCAGAAAACAGTCATACTGCCAAAGCGTTGAAAGAGTTAAACATACAGTAATACTAATTTTAGTCACTGACACAATTTTTAAGACTCTGACAACATGTGTTTTAGATACACCAACAGTTCTATTAATATCCTGGGCAGAACTTCCATGAAGAATTCTTTTAACCTTTATTGGATTGAGACCATAGTATAAAAAATTGCAAAAGTCAACTTGTCAGTCAGTGTGTCCTGTGCCTGTATAATATGTCTGTCAATTTACGAAATATTGTTCAGGCACCATAAACTCACTTGAACTAGGCTGGAAAAAATGTGAAATGTCACTGACTTGAACTCAGTGCAGGCTTTATAACTTTATTGCCTTTGAAAAATTCCTTTCTCTTCCCACTCTTTCCCCCCACCCAACGCCAATATTTCTGTGTGAGGAATACTATTTTTTATAAACAACACAAAAATACCAGTTCTGTATGAGAGATTACTGAACACAACTGAAGTGAGATATTGTGCTCAGAAGAGTTAGGGAGAAAATGGGGTAGTAAAGGGGAAATTTTGTGTCACTTTCGGGTTTTCCCTATAGCACTATTGGTACAGTTTCTGATGGTGTTTGAAGACATGGCTGGCAAAATGACTGTGATCCTTCAGTTTTTTTTCCCATGGCAATGTAAGGCTTCACCTGAGACCTTAATATTGGTTATTTCTACAGTTGCACAACAGGAAGCTGAACTCGTAAGAGATCTCAGTTCTTCACTTACCACAGCTGCACCAAGAGGGCCGCACTTCTTTAGCAGTTTTTCTGAAATTCCTGTACCAAAAAACTCACTGATGTCTCCAGCAGATCAGTTTGTCAATGCTGCAAGAGCATCAATGAGAATGCAGAAGGTGAAGCAAAAACTTGATTCTGTTTTGGTAAGTCAAATTTAATTAATTTCAGAAGTATATAGTCTTCCCATATTCTGGAACTGGTGTACTTAAACACATATGTATTGTTATGGCATCTGGTGTTTAAAAGTGACTACATCTCTTACTTATACTAATGCAGGTGTAAGTAGGTCTTAAGAAAAGAGCAATCATAAAAAGCTTAATTTTGTTTTTCAAATACTGACGACAAGGGATTTTTTATGCTAGTGCCCATTGCTGTTTGTATATTTATGTGAAAGCAGGGACCCATAGATCGTTACGGCTAAGACTCCTATTCACCTTAAAAATTCTATGTGGCATAAATGGTAGGGGGTTTTAGGGAGCTGCAGGGTAGGGAGGAGAACATGCCGTGTGCTGGGCACAGCTGTTTTAAGCCAGCTCAGTGAAGGACAAAATGGACCCATTGCACAACTAAAACTGGAACCAAACAGAATATGGCACCTCTGAGAAAACAGACCTAAGAAAGGTCAGAACCTACTAGAGACAGGAAACACCGGAGCAGAGGAGAAATGCAAAGGAAAATGTGTCAGGGGGCACAAGTGAAACTCCAGGAGGAGGGATGTGAGGAGTCATGTGAAAGAAGACACAGAGGGAGGCACAAAGGTGATGCAAGAGACACAAAACAGAAATGGAAATACAGGGGCAATAACAGAGTAGGCTTGAAGAGAAAGACAAGAGATACACGAGGACACACAAAAGAAAACACAGATGATGAACCCCTCTGAAGGGGTTGCAAACAGTGGAAGAATCCATGTTGGACAGGTACAATCCCCAAGGGGATATTGTCTGGTGGAGGATCTGTACTACCAAAGCAGCTGCAAAGAGCAAAAAAAAAAGAGTCAAAAAGAGCAAGATGCACTAACCTCACTCTAGTGCCCCACCCTTCCATTGCCTTTTCAGAGGGGCTGAGTGTCATGTAATGTCAAAAGCAAGGAGACTGGGGATTAGAAAGGAGAAAAAAGAGGTGCCTGAAGTGGAGACAGATAAAGAGGGATGAAAAATGTTTTCTTTGCTTGGGTGTTTTACTATTTGTCTTGTTTCTCAATACTCAAATTGGTAATTAAAGCTTTTGTAATTGGCAATAAATTTAATTAAGTTAAATTCCCAACTTGAGACAATTTTGCATGCAACAAGGATGCAGAATGTTCCTGAATAGCACTGTGAAGTTATAATTACTTTTCACAATGACATGAACCACATTTGAGTTTGCATTTACTGTTTTTCATTTTGAAGTACTTTTGAGTACGTGTCGATTTTTTTTTAATGTAGTTTTAGGTTTTGTCTGCATTAATAAGTAGTGAATCACAAAAGAAGCAGATGAGTAGATGAAAGCAGTTGTTTCTGAGGTTGCTGTAACTACTGTCATCATGCTTTAGGGGTTTTACTTTGAATTAGATTTAGTCTGGTTCCTTAGCTTTGGCATCCCCATTAGGCCTGAACTTTGAAACTGTCTGGAAGAAAGCAATCCCACAGACCTTCACACAGACCACAGATTTCAGAATTGTGAATTTCCAATGAACCCCTTCATGAAACACCACATGGTAGCTCTCATGGATAACAGTAGCATGCTGGTTCTACCTTTCACTTACATGTGGTCTGACACAAGGAAGCAAATCTTGTTTCTACTTAATGTTCATTCTGTTCCTGCTCACCTACAAAGTGAGTGCTGGTGCCTCATTTGGTGTTGTTTATCAGGGAAAGGCACAACATGGAGAGAATAGAGCATGTAGCCTTATGTCTGGGACAAGTACTCCTGGATGTCTGGTCATCTGAATAAAAAGATGGAGTTAGAGAATTTATGAGAGTCTTTATCATTGCAACTGTTTACTCCCAGATTAACCAGTGGTTCTGGACTGCAGAAGACAAATCTGGTTTAGCAGAAGCACATAGAAGTTCCATGTTACCGTGTGACTAGATGAAATAGATAAGCCTATAACTGTGTTTAAAAGAATAACTTTCAGCCACTGGAATTTTGTGACCCTAGATTTCTATTGACTAGTTTGGAATGAGTAAGTCCACTGTGAGCAGAGTAATGATCTGTGTTTTTGACAGCATCCTCCAAGCGCTCTACCCATGTGGGACATGTCAAAAGTTCACCTGAGTCTTCTCATTGTGTGAGTTTCGAAACTGTACAGGATGGTGGTTGAAAGAATCCAATCCAGTTTGATATCTGTCACATAGCAGTTGTGATTATAAACACTGAGAGTGCTTCCTTGCAGGGCTTTATGAATCACTGAGATATTGGGGAGGAGATTTCTTTGGAAGGAGTCTTGATGCTAATCTTTCCAGTGATCCAACGTGAGACTTAGGGGACAGCGGTAGATAGTTTTCAAGCAGGGATAGGATAATTTTTTGCATGTGGCTGCAGTATTGCCTGCCTAATTTATCACATTTTGGGCAGCCCCAGAGTAAAATATGCAACATTAAAATTCAAAATTTCTACTAATTTGTAATCGGGAATTAGTTTTTAATGTGTGTGCAGTTCCGTTTCTCATATGAAAAATGATTCATATATGTTAGTGCAGGCTTTTCTGGAAGGCTTATTAGAATGCACATGAATGTTTGCTAAAGTGTTTGTCAAAGTAGAAGTCTTAAAAGTTGCCACTCAGCCACATGTGTGAGAATGTACTAATATTTCTGGGAACAGACAAGCGAAAATGGAGAAAGATGTCTTTAGGAAACCACACATAAGGTGGCTTGCTGCCCTGTGGTCGAGTTGGAACATTAAAAATCCAGATGAGAACACAGGTGTTACCTTGTATGTGTTTCACAGAATCATAGAATATGTTGAATTGGAAGGAACTCCCAGAAACCAAGTCCAAGTCCTGGCACTGCACAGCACCAACTCCAAGAGTCACACCGTGTGCCCAAGAGCATTGTTCAAACATTTCTTGAACTCTGTCACATTGGTGCTGTGACCACTATCCTGGGGAGCCTGATCCAGTGCCCAAAAACCCTCTGGATCAGGAACCTTTTCCTTATATCCAACATAAACCTCCCCTGACAAAACTTCAGCCATTTTCTCAGGTCCTGTCACTGGTCACTACAGAGAAGAAATCATTGTCTGTCCCTTCTCTTCCCCTCACAAGGAAGTTGTAACTGCAATGAGGTCTCCCCTCAGTCTCCTCAGTCTGAGCAAACCAAGCGACCTCAGCTGCTCCTCGTACAGCTTCCCCTCCAGACCCTTCACCATCTTTATTTCTGTCCTTTGGGCACTCTCTAATTGTTTAATATCTTTCTTACATTGTGGCACCCAAAACTGCACACAGCACTTGAGGTGAAGCTGCCCCAGTGCAGAGTAGTCCTGGTCTTTGGGTCATGTTTGCATGCCCTTGTCACAGACATATAGGAAATACCATGTTGGGACAAGCATGGTGGCAGCATACCTTGTAGACCTGGCGTAAGGTCATGCCTGGAGTCATGTTTTATGTGACAAAGGTGCTGGAATACACAAACAGCAAATCTGCCAACATGGAGTCTCTGGTTTTAATGTGTCAACTTACCAGCTAGCTACTGGATTTAAAACTAACTTTGAAGTGTAGAGTTTGGAGTTCTGTGACTTAGATGCAGGATTGGAAAATTTGATGTCAAAATATTCAAGTTTGGGTTAGGCTAGATAGAGAGAATACTCTGATCCTGTATTACTTTGGGTTCTTTGTCTTATGACCCGTGCCCCCTTTCCAGGTCCCGTTAGAGCAGTTTTTTTTATTTTTCTGTTTTTCTTCTTTTTACCTAAACATAAACCTTAATGAATGATAGATAGATTAAGTTTCTTTTCTTCTCTTCTGCAGTAGTGTCATTCTAATTAGCCAAGAAATTAGAACCAAGAGCTGACTATTGTGCTAAAGCTTTAGCAATTCACAAAAGCTAAGAACGTTTGATACAAAAGGTAAAAACTAATTTCTGTATGAAAGCAGAATGCAGAATTAGCTTCTGTATGACATAGAGAAATTTCAGAGTAGTGAATCTTGGCAGCAGTTATTATTTATCTCTACCTCAAGGAACTAATGCTAATGTATGATTCTATTCATGGAAGTTTTTGAGAAGAAAATATTTAACTAATCTCTGGCTCTTGGAAGTGCTAATAAGTGTTTTTCATTCAATGTTACTATTTATGTTTTGTAAATTTCACTTCCATCTAGCAGTGAAAAAACCCATTTATAACTATCCATAACAAGGGGATGATATATGTTATGTAGGTATGGAGAGAAGGGTTTTCTTTGAAGATGTAGTATTCTAGCTCTGAAATTGGTCTGTTAGGTGTTTAACACCTTTGTAGCACTTATGAATAGCATCTGTATATACTCTGTAGTACTAATCTTGGAACCAATTACATGTTGGCTGTTTTATATCTCAATATATGAATGCTTCTAAGTTAAAATATGATTAGCTTTTCCAGTCCTTACTTCATGATGTATTTCTGAAAAGTGTTATTTAAAGGTTATCAAAGTGTTTATCAAAATTCTGATACTCAGCATATTAAATGTGATGTTAGACAAGTAGAATGTAAAATACTCTTTCCAATATACAGAAATGCTTACAACTATTTGGTTTTTGTCCTTTGACTGTATTTATTACTGTGGCATAATTAATAAAGAAGTAGGTACTGTGAGAGAATCCAGAAGCCTATATCTTGGATTGCATGAAATGTAGTGAGCTGTACATCATTAAGCTGTATGTCTATAAAATATATTAATAAATGATGCTTTGGTGTAATATACATCAAATACTATAGTCTTTAGTCCTTTCAGATGGTCTCCTTTTAGAATTTAGTGGACATGCAAAATACATCTTTTTGTATTAAAACAGAACAGAATTTAAAGCAGCTGCTTCTAAGAAAAAAAAGTGCAACCCTTTTGGGGGACACTAACATGATACTGAGCCATCAAGTGGAAGAAGACAGAAACATGTACTTTTGTCTGCAGCAAAGACTAGAGGCAGAGCTGGATGCTCAACTGGCTTGTATTTTTTTAATGCCACCATTTTCA